ACACAGAGATCAGCCCGGGCTGTTCAGATTAGCTTCTTTGGTACAGAAGACAGGGTCCCTCTTTTCTTTTAAAGCAGTGAGTGCACCTCTCGTCCTCCACTTAGCCTGGACTAATTTCACCTGCTGACATCCACTGACATTCACTGCCTGCTACTTGGACTGAAAGCCAAGGAGGACTGCTGCTTCCATTCTACCCATTAATTGACATTTCCATTGCATTTCTGGATATTCCTGTGTTGTTTTTTGTTTCAGCTAAATTCTTTAAGAATTTTTTTTTTTTAATCACTCATTGACTTTGCTTGGAACAAAATGGTGACGCAAAGTGAAAACTTATTACCCCAATTTGACCAGAGTCTCCAACCCACCTTGAATTTGAATTCAGATACTTCTGATTTTTAGTTTTTAGTGTCTCTGTAGCATTTTAAAATAGCTTCCTTTATAGAAAGTGGAAGGTGAAATGTATCAACAAGACATAGGCGCCAGAAGTGAAAAACAAAACCGAAACAAGAGTTTGGGTAGAATACTGGTGAAGCCTGTGGTAGCAGGCACAGTGGAGTAAGAAACTGGATCATAAGCCGAGTCCTGTGCAAGATAACAAAATTAGAAGTTAAAACTAGGTAAGCTACGTCAAAAGACCAAATTACAACAAATTTAGTTTGAAATCTTAATTGGCTTATATCTGTGGTTCTAAAATTGGGCAACACCTCATTCTGGGAAACAGAATTATTGTTTCCATGAACTGAGCAGAGGAGGCTTCCTTTAGAGACACAGAAGGGCTAAGAAAAACAGAAACATGAAACCAAAACGAGTTGGTTATTTCGATTTACTTTCCTTATACAAGTTAAAGCAGAGGGAACTTCTTATGCTGACTAAAACTGACTTTGGGGGGGAATTTGATTACTGTGATTTCTTAGACAAGTCAGATAAATAATTTTGTTTCGTCTTAGTGGTGAGGAACTCTCACATGAGTGACTCCATTTTGGTTTGGTTGGTTGGGCCTGGTACAGGAGCTCAGTCCAAACCAAATGGCCTCCTACAAATTGCACTTAACAGATATGGAAAGTCAATAACAGAGAGCACTGAGGGGTTCTTTGCTCTGACATAAATTTAGCTGAGGCCCTATTAAGCATCCAGGATCTACCTAGCAGTACTTCTCCCAAGAGAAATACTGCAAGAGTCAAGGTATGTTCAGTCAAAAATAACTCAAGAGACTATATAAATGGATTTGGGATTTTGGTCTCTTCCAGGATAATTCGTCCTCTCAAATTTCCTTATATTCTGATATTTTTCAGAACTCTAAACTGTTCCCTGATAGTAGGATCCTGTGTCTAAGGGTCTCTGAGGAGGGTTTTAAATGTATGTCTTTTCAAGTTCTTGGGCTCCTTCATTGGGATCTCATCTGTGATTCTATATCCTCATGGAACAAAAACTTGTGTGTTAGGTCTTAAGATTTTTTTTCCATATAATACTTGCTGTTTCATCATATATATTCCCACTGTGCAATTCAATAATGGCTATGTTCAGAATTGGGATACCATAATCAAAAAAAACAGTCCCTTATGGAATCCAGCTATCAAGTTTCAATGCACCAGGAAATAAGAAATAACTCTTCTGAGCTAATTACAGTTAGGTCATATATTTTTTCTAACTAGTTAGTGCTTTTTAAATGCCAAATTACTAAAAGATTATGATCAAGATTAAGAGTTTGTGATGGCTTTTAGTTGAACTTTCAAAGAGTCCTCTTAAATGTCATGTTCCTAGGAATCTGGAAAAACTATGTTTAGATAAGATTTATCTCAATTGAAATCAGAAATATTTAATAAGATACTAACCTGTACCATTCCCATTTCCTCAGACTGCTTTTGAAATGCCATGAATTATAAAATAAAGCATCTGTAATGGCCAGCGCTGATTTTGCATTCATCTAACTTCTAGCCTCAGGATGCTCAAGCAAAAGCAGCCAATAGCTGAGGGACACTGCCTATGTCATGCCTGAGTCACCCCAGAGGACAGTGAAATGATGCCTAGCAATTCTTTGCCAGACACACACTGAAAGAGAGTCAGAATAGCAATGTTAAGTAGCATTGCTTCCATTGTATTTAGAAGGAACAAATGGAAATAAGATGTGTAGAGTCCTCCCACAGACAAGATAGGAGCAGAGGAAGGATGTAAGAACCTCACTTGGCCAATCCCTGTCTGGATTAACATATACACCAATAGCATATTTTTAAAATCTTGCAAATAGGTAGAATTCATTTAATAATTATTGTTTAAACTTCATATTAATTTTCTGTTACACTAAAAAACATTTATTTTCTACTAATATTAGTAACTAAATAGGTTACCCTTCTATAAACAATTATGTATTTGTCTCTAAAATAAATATACACTAACTTAAAGCATCTTATTCTGCCAATTGTGACTAATAATAAATTTGAAATCCAAATCAAATGTATGGTTTCTTTTTTCAAGAAAGAAAAAATGTCATATTGATTCAAAAAGAGGAAGAATCTATGAAAGAACAGAAATCAAAGTTGAAAATAGAGTCAACAGGTCACTCCTAAAAGATTCTAATAATTTTATAGGCACATTCTACAAAATGTTCAGGGAAACAATAATTCCTTTATGAGGATGATAGGTAGGTAGGTAGGTAAGTAGGAGGGTATGTAGATAGAATTTTAAAAATCCATATAAAATACCACCAAATCAATTTAAGTAGCATAATAGGAAAAGTTATCATTTAGACCTAAGAAGAGATTGCTTATGAAAATAAGGTTGACTCAACATTAATAAATGCATTAATGTAACTTAGTTCATAATAACTATTCAAAGGAGGAAATTCATATGCTCATCTCAGTAGATTGTTAAAAATCTAAGAGATTCAACATTTTTTAAAACTTTAAGGAAATTTTAAAATATACATAAATGTAGAGACAGTTATAACAGATCCTATGTGTGAATCCCACAATACACAACAACTTCAGCAATGATCAATATTTGCTTTTTTAAAAAAATTATTTTTTAATGTCATGCTGGGATTGAACCCAGGACCTCAAGCATGTTAGGAAAGTGCTCTACCACTGAACTACATCCCTAACTCTTTTTATTTTTAAATTTTACTTTGAGACAGAGCCTCACTAACTTTCCTAGGCTGGCCTTAAACTTACCGTCCTCCTGCCTCAGACCCCTGAAACCCTGGGATTACTGGCATGCACCACCATGCCCAACTCTCAACAGGCATTAGAGGAGGTTAGAACTCTTTCTGCCTTTTAAAAAAAAATTTTGTTTTAATTAGTTACACATTTAATTAGTTACTACAATGACCTTGATATATCATACAAGTCAGATCCAAGTGGAGCCCATATAACATGATGGGGAGTTTGGCAAATGTTTCTGCCTCTGTCTTTTGCCCAAAGTACTGCTGGTACCAGCTCAGGAACCCTAAACTGCTCAGCCTAGGCTGGGGTGCTGTGGACAGTGTCTGGGTGTTATCAGCATTGTTTTCACTGTGGATGAAGGGACATAAAAACTTTTTGATGAATCTCTCTTGCTATCCTGAAACTCCCATGAGAAACTCAGATATCATTCCTCATTAATAAATCTATACAGTCTATGTAGCTCTAATCAAAATGCCAATATGATTATTTTTGTTCTGTCACAAGCTGATTTCACAATTCACCTGGGAAAATACCAAACAATTAACAACAATAAAAACAGATCAAGAACAGCTCTCTGACTCCAAGAAAATCCACCACAACAAACGTTTAAGTGAAGAGAACTTTTTTTTATCCTACCCAGAATAAAAGTTTAAAAGCTCCATATAGAACATGTCAGGCATAGTGATTTATGCCTTAAGTCCAACTATTAGGGAGGCCAAGGCAGAAGGATCACTTGAGTACAGTAGTTCAGGGCCAGCCTGGGTAACACAGCAAGACCCTGTGGCTTAAAATAAAAATAAAGGAAGATTAAAATAACTAAAAGTCTAATAGCATATAGGATTAAGTCATAGTCAATAGAAATAGACAAATCTAATGCTGGAATAGAATAATATATCTAAAATTTAATTCTGAAGTCTTATTTAAAGTTCTTAAATGTATCTTTGATATTAGCTTGCAATTAGCTCCATCAAGAATTCAATGGTAATATCAAAAGTAAAAATGAGTTTAGCAGCTTCTTTTCTTAGGTTGATTGGGTGCCTTGATCCTTCACACATTCTTGTGCTCATTAACAAAACACAGAAGCTGAAGGGTATAGATCTTGTGTGTCTAGTGACTTGGCCTCCATGGAAGTGGGAAAGAGGAACCATTCCTAAGATAGTGGGTGGGTCTGGGTAGGCTGTCTGGCCCTGCATTTCACTTCCTGGGAATAATTGAGCAGTTACTATGTACCAGGCAGTGTTCTAAGCATTTTGCATGTAAGAACTTGGATTGGGTACCTTCTTCAAGGCCATGCAACTAGTAAAGATGTGAATATCACGGTTTTGTTCTCAGACCTGCAGCCTCCCAGTACCAACTCCTCTTCTGACGTTTGCTCAGACTGCTGTCCTGGCACGAATGATCTTTTTGGTGTGGCTTGCTCCTTTCTCTGTGCTCAACCTCATGGGCCGCTGTAATTAAGTTGCCACCTGTAACTGCTTGCCCTTTGATTCAGTCCTGAGGGAACCTGGAGCTGGAAAACGCCCTATTGGAGCAACTTATTAGTGTCTGCTGCATATTTATCTGTCTCCTTTACTAAACTGTGAGTGCCTAAGGGCAAGACTCTCTGTTCACCATTTTATTCCTGGAATTTACCATGTTTGGCAGATGCTAGCCATTAAATAAGTGTTGGATAAATTAATGGATATTAAGAATCTAAGCACCAGGATTTACCAGAATTAGAAAAAGAAAATGACCTGGATATAGTCATGTGGCATCTTCACAGTGAGACAAACAACTGAATCCCTGGGCTGTCTTCATAACTCCACACCCCTTCCTACTCTCTTTTTCCTTGCCCTATTGCAGGTTATGGGATCTGAAAGAATGGAGATGCGGAAGCGGCAGATGACAGCTGCCCAGGAGCCACCAGGCTCAGTCCCCGACCAGCCTGGAGCAGGGAATCGGGGCTCCAATGCTTGCTGCTTCTGCTGGTGCTGCTGTTGTAGCTGTTCATGGTAAGTTTGGGGGCTTTTAAATTTTCAAAATTAATGTGCTGTTCATTGGGAATTGTTACCCTTGAATAGAGCCAGCTTAATTCAACTTAACTAATTCAGTGTTTTTTAAGCAATTAATACATGCCCATTAAAGACATACAGTTTTTTTTTTAAATAATAGCTATGTCTGTTTAGTTCTCAAGAAACCTATATTCAAATACTTGAAATCAGGCTAGCTAGCATTTGTTAGACAACAAAAGAACAATGGAATGTAGTTCTGATCATACCTTAACATATGGACAGAAACGTCACTTAGGTGATTAGAAAGACTCGCCTTTGGCATAAAGACTTTGTTCAGGATTTAGTATTTAAGATTATCTTAAAGGTTGGGATTATGAAGCCTGGATTTTTATCTTCTGCTAGTTTCCTTTTATTATTATTTTTCCTTGAGGTCCTGGGGATTGAACATAGAACCTCAAGCATGCTAGGCAATTTTGTTTTTTTAATAAAGAAAATTGTCAAAATATGTGCTTAAAATGGCAAGAAAGATGAGTGACATGGCACACACCTATAATCCTAGCACTCTGGAGGCTGAGACAGGAGGATCACAAATTCAAGGCCAGCCTCAGCAACTTAGCAAAGCTCTAAGCCACTTAGTGAGACCCTGTCTCAAAAAACAAAAAGGGAGGGCCGGGGTTGTGGCTCAATGGTAGAGTGCTTGCCCAGCATGCATGAAGTACTGGGTTTGATCCCTGGCACCACATAAAAATAATAATAAATAACAAATAAAATAAAGGTATTGTGTCCATCTACAACTAAAAAAAATATTTAAAAAAAAAAAAAGGCTAGAGATGTAACTCAGTGGTAAAGTGCCCCTAGATTAAATCCCCAATACTCACCCCCCCAAAAAATGGAGAAAGAAATCTGAAAATACAGACTACCTTACTAGGTAGAGGAAGATACAGTTATTGCTTTAAAAATAAAATAGGGGCTGGGGTTGTGGCTTAGTGGTACAGCGCTTGCTTAGCACGTGTGAGGCACTGGGTTCAATCCTCAGCTCTACATCTTAAAAAATTAGTTAATTAAATAAATAAAGGTATTGTGTCCACCTACAACAAAAAAATTTTTAAATGTTTAAAAATAAAGAGAGCGATAAATGAATTACATGTAAAACACTGTGACTATTTGAATCACAAGGTCTGGAGAAATGGATGTACTTTGCATCTAGGAATCATATTCATGTTAGGTTGCATCTTTGAAATTTTGAATATGACAAGTGCTAGCACCAGCTAAACTTGTACATCACTTTCAGCAATTAAATAATTGTAAATTTATGTAGGCTTTGCTATAAGGTAGATCCAGACCTCACTATCCAATGGAGAAGAAGAAAAACTGATATTGGGACTGATTAAGAAGAGTGATATAGGCAGGCATAGTGGCACACACTGTAATCCCAACTACTCAGGAAGCTGAGGTAGGAAGATTGCAAGTTCAGGATCAGCCTTTTGGCGGCCTAGTCTCAAAATAAAATTTTATAAGGGTTGGAGATGTTCTTGCCTAGCATGGGTTCAACCCCAGCATTATAAAACAAGGAGAAAAAAAAGAATGGTAATACAGAACTATTAGAACTGGATCCTGGGGAGGAAATTGGAGGTAGGCTGTGAAACATCCAGGAAAGTTTAGTGGGCTCATCCTGCTTGACTTGGGCCAGTGTAGACTTGTAAGAAGTTCTAGTCTGGTGGATGGAGCCTAGCAATAGAACATGGCCAAGACCCATGAGATCACGAGGCAGTCAGGACAGATCCCAGACGGCAGGTGGGCATGTGGGGAGATGGGGTGGACAACAGCTAAGCCGTGTGCTGCTCAGGTGAGACTTCAGATGCCTACACAGAAATCTAAACAACTTGGTAGTAAGCTGGAGAAGAGACACAGAGAAAACTTGTCCAGGGCCTTTCCTACACAGGAAAGATACCCATCTATGTGAGAGCCTACATCCAGGGCCCTTCTCCACTTTTGATTCTGCCAATAGATCTCAGTGTGAACAAAGATGATCATCTGAGAGGTATACAAGGATAAAAAGGATGTTCAGTGAGACTCTAGCTAATGTTTAAGCTGTCCTTCCTTCCTTTGGACAGGGCAAGGAGCTGAGATCATGGCCTTGGTAATATATCATCCTGATAATGTAAGGGTAGCAGGTGGGAATGGATCCCAGAGTAGGGTACTATTAGAAGACTAGTACCAAATAGAGTGAATAAAATTACAATCTATTCCTAGATGACATCAACATCATCCATCATCATCAGCATCATCACCAGCATTTATGTAACACTTATCATGTATGTATATAAAATGCAACAGAGCTGCATCTTCAAAGTACTGGAGAAAAGTAACTAAAAACTCTCAAAACCCAAACTATGGGACTGGGATTGTGGCTCAGCAGGAGAGCGCTTGCCTAGCATGTGCGGGGCCCTGTGTTCAATCCTCAGCAGCACATAAAAGTAAATGAATGGAATATGTCCAACTATAACTAAAAAATTAAATATTAAAAAAAAACAAACTGTTATTCAGGAATGTGGATAAAATAGACATTTTCAGACATACAAAGGCCAAGAGAATTTATACTCACAGGCCCTCCCTAAAAATAGTAAGAAATGTTCTTAGTACTTCAGGGGGAGGAAAGTGAACCCAGAGGGAAGCCATGGAAGACAAGTGACAAGAGTAGACACAAAAGGAATCAAATGGAATATGTGTCATTTAATTTGGACTTCAAAAGTATAAAACCCAGCGGTAAACAAATAATCTCATGTCAACAATTGACAAATCAAATTATTTCAGACTTAAAAAATTATAAGAAAAAATTTATAAATAGTGCAAAAATACAACATGTAGTTTCCACATCAATGGAAGACAATAAAAGAAATCTAGAAAACCTTTTCAACATATGACAGAGGTGGCATCAGTGAAGGAGAGTATGTCTGAATTCGTAGTATTTGGGTAACCAACTCATCACCGTTCCCTGGGACTTTCTCATTTTAGCATTGAAAAGTCCCATGAAAGCCTGAGTCCCCAGCAAACCAGGAAGGTTGATCACCTGCCTGGTATCTAAGTCTATTAAAACAGACATAGTCCATAACTGAACCACATTAAAAATTCAATCCCCATCTTTCAAAAAAAAAAAAAAACGAAATCAATTCCAGATGACTTAAGGTCAAGTATAAAATATAGGATTGTATCTGTGTTGGGAAGAGTTACTTTGAAAAATAAAAAATTCTCTAAAAGATTCATAAATTTTACCACACTAAATATAAAAATGTGGCTGTGTGTGGTGGCGCACATCTGTAATTCCAGCAGTTCAGGAGACTGAGGCAGGAGCATCTGAATTCGAGACCAGCCTCAGCAATTTAGTGAGACCTTAAGTAACTTAGCGAGACCCTGTCTCCAAAAGTAAAAAGAGCTGAGGAATCTGCCTCAGTGGTAGAATGCCCCTGAATTAAACCCAGGACTCGAAACAAACATCAAACAAAAAAAAATTTAGGTTGATGGTTATTTCTAGGGCAGAAAGAGAGGGGAATAGGATGAGGGCAAAAACATACAGCAAACTTCAACTATTTTGAGAAGAAATTTTTCTTTCACAATGAATGGCATTCATAATTAGCCCCCAAATATAATATATAGTTGTCACATCAGTGGAAGATGATCCTTGATTCTTTTCTCAACAGTCTTTTGAGATGTATTTGGGTTGAAATACATAGTAGAGTTAACTTTCAAGGAAAGTAAATGGCAATATGTTTTCTAAGCCCTTGTGATGTGGCTCTCAGAATTTCCTCCTATGGCCTCTTGGTATTTGTTATAAAGGAAACATGAAGATTATTCTTCTCTTGAAAATAAACTAAAAATTCTAGAAGGTTGACGGATTTTTCCTCCTTTATCATTCAAAATGTATCTAAACATGGATCATCTTTACTAACCATTTCTAAAACATGGTGAACAACCACCTTGGCTTCTGTCCACACCTTGTTCTGCTTAATGATCCCAGAGAAGCCCAGTAAACAAAACTTGACTAAAAAATATATGCTTCACTTTTTCTAGAACAGCTTGTCTCCTTAAAAATTCAACTTTGTAAAATGAGGTGGAAGAAATGTCAAAGCTTAAATAAATTTTGCATTATTTAGTTCAGAGTTTAGCTTCCAGTTCTCTTAGGAATTTTGTGTCAAATTCATAATTCCCTTTTCTCTTTGCTTTTTCATACCCACTGTGCAGTAATGTGCTCTGCTTACAAAAGACGCCTAGGCGGTCAGGCAGTATTCATGCCCATGCAGAGAGGATACCACCCAATGCCTCTCAGTCTTCTTTGTTTTGTTTTGTTTCATTTTAAATAAACCATTATTTATTGAAACTTTTTAGCCCTGGCATCATAAAAGAAACAAGCCAAAAGGGTTCCTGCATGTTTAATGACTTTGCCTTTAAAGAAAAATAGAGCTGTACACAGACACATACACTTATTGAAAATTCATAAAGTGCATGTGCTGAAAGGCTGACATACTTACAAAGTGGAGTAAGGAGTATTAAGAAAAGACATAATAAAAGGAAGAGAAACATTAATGCAGTAGCAATAACAAGACAAAACTCAAATCATCAATGATAAAAAGCCATTTTGAGGGCTAGCAGTATAACTCTATGATTAAAGCACAGGTTTAACATACACAAGGCCCTGGGTTCATTCCCTAGCAACCCCCGAAAAAAAAAATCCATTTTTAAATTGAGGGGATACCAAAAACATTCCTGCTAATGTCAAGATCAGGGCATGTGTGTCCACAATCTCTACCACTCTTAGACATTGTTTTAGGTATTAGCCAATGCAATTTAACAAGAGGAAACAATTAAAGGCCTTAAAAAAATGGGAAGAGGTAGCCAGGCACAGTGGCTCATACCTGTAATCCCAGCAGTTTGGGAGGCTAAGACAGAAAGATAACAAGTTTAAGGCTAGCCTCAGCAACTTAGACCCTGTCTCGAAATAAAAAATAAAAAGGGTTTGGCATGTAGCTCAGTAGTTACATGCCCCTGGGTTCAATTTCCAGTCCAAAACAAACAAACAAAAAGTTGGAAGAGGTAGAATATCTCCCTCTCTGCAGACAATGAGATGAGAGTCTACCTGAAAACTCCAAGAGAATTATGTATAAAACTGATGCAAACAAAGAATTCAGTAAACTAGAATGTGCAAGGCCCTGGTTGGATCCTCAACATCCAAAAACAAATTAATTAATAAAATAAAAATGATCTGGTTGTGGTAGCACACACCTGTAATCCTAGTGACTTAGAAGGCTGAGGCAGGAGGATGGCAAGTTCTATGCCAGTCTCAGCAACTTAGTGAAGCCCTATCTCAAAATAAAAAGTCCTAAGGATGCTGCTCAGTGGTAAGGTGTCCTTTGGTTCAATTCCTAGTACTAAATAAATATAAAAATGGCCAAAGAAAATAAATAGATCCAAAAACGATGTACAATAGCTAGTAATTACATGAAAAAGTCCTCAATATCACTGGTCATTTGGAAAGTACAAATCAAAGTGATAGTGACATTTCCTTTCACACCCATGTTAGGTGCAAATAAAGGAAACTAGAATGAAAAAAATAAACAGTCACTTTTGGCAAGGATATGGAGAAATTAGATTCTTCAAGATTGCTCAGGGGAGTATAAACTGCACAGCTGCTTTAGAAAACAGTTTGGGAATTCCTCAAAATGTTAAAAATAGAGTTATCATATGCATCAGCAATTCCACTCAAGAAAAAATGAAAATCTACCCCAAGATAAATGAAAGAAAGTGTATGGTCATACAAACTTGCACATGAATGAGCAACCCAAAAGTAGAAATAAGGCGAATGTCCATCCACCGTTGAATGGATAATAAATGTTACATATTCATATGATATAATATTATTCAGTCAGAAAAAGGAATGAAATACTGATGTAAGCTATGCACAACATGGATAAACCATGAAAACATTATGCCAAGTGAAAGATGCCAGCCACAGAAGATCACATATTGCATGATTCAGAATAAGCAAAAAGGGATAGATAGGAAGCAGTAACTCATTAGTGTGTTTCTAGAGCTGCTGGAGAAGGGAGATACAGGTAATAAGGAGAGACTGCTAACAGTTGTGGGATTTCTTTTGGGGGACATGAAAATGTTCTGGATAGTAATGATGATTGTGCAACCTTGTAGATATATTACTAAAAAGCTCTGAATTGTACACTTTTTCTTTTTTTTTTTTTTTGGTACCAGGGATTGAACCCAGGGGTGTTTAAAAAGTGAGCCACATCCCCAACCCTTTTTTATATTTTATTTAGAGAAAGGGTCTCAATGAGTTGCTTTTAGGACCTTGCTAAATTACTGAGGCTGCCTTTGAATTCACAATCCTCCTGCCTCAGTCTCCCAAGCCATTGGGATTATAGGCAGGTACCACCTCACCCAGCTGAACTGTACACTTTTAAAAAGCATATCAATTTTATGGCATATAAATGACAGCATATACTAATAGTCCTCATGTGTACAAACAATAACTAGAAGGTAAGACAGAAGTAAAAATTCCACTTATAATAATAACAAAATTACTTGGAATAAATTTAGAGAGATATGTACAAATTGTGTATAAGGAAACAAGCTCTCAAGCCTGGTACAAAATAAATTTTGATTGGTTTTCTCTCATATTTGTACATGTGCTCCTCAAATAAATAAACCCTTCATTTTGACTAGAAACAAAGCATGAAAGACTTTGTTTTTTGTTTTTTGTTTTTTTGCTGCACTGGGGATAGAACTCAGGGGTGCGCCACTGAGCTACAACCCTACCCCTTTTTAACTTTTATTTTGAAACAGGGTCTCACTAAATTGCTAAGGCTAGCCTCTCGAACTTGTAAACCTCCTGCCTCTGCATCTGGAGTTGGATTATAGGCATGCTCTATCATGCCCGGCCAATATATACCTTTTTTAATGTGCAGAAAAGGAAATGAAAACTGAAAACATTTTTGACAACCTTACTATTTTTTTACTATTTTCTAATGAACAAGTTTTATATGAAAAGTTATTCTAAATGTAATTGAGCATGACAATTTCTCTTTCTCGATTAGTATAGACTACAGTGGTATAAATAAATATAACTTATTTTTCTAATACTGCTAATAGTTTAGATCTTGAAAATTCTACTTGAGAATCTGAAATTCTCTTTAAAATATTTGTTGGGAAAAAAAAAAAAAAAACTACTTTTCTTTGGTGCAAATTGACCTCAATCAACCTCTGATTTTCCTGTTTCTTGCAGCCTCACTGTTAGAAACCAAGAAGACCAGAGACTCACAAGAGCTTCCCATGAGCTCAGAACAGAACTTCCAACCTGCGAAGAAAGGTAAAATCTCACATTTTTTTACTCACTACATTCAGAAATACCAACCTTTTGCTTTTTCTTTTTGATTAAACAGAATACACACAATTTCTCTTAACAATTTATTAACACCAAATCTCAAATATTTTTTCCCAGAAGAACTCCTTTAAATTTACTGTGCCAACCACAAAAATAAAGCTATGCTTCTGTACAAACTTTAATGATGCAACTTTATTTTTATAAAATAAAAGACCATAATAAAACAACATACTTGATTTTCAGAAGAGTCAGTCTATTTTTTCTTAATTATAAATTTATAGTAAATGGCCAAATAACTTTTAAAATTTAAGTATTTTGAAAATTGAAAAAAAATACACATCAATTGTTACCAAATTTATTTTTTTCTTTCTATATTATAAATTGATTTCCTTTCCCCATAATTATTTTTATACTTGTCTTAATCTTATGCCTTTATAATTACAGACATTAGACAAATATTCTAAAAAGCATTGTTCAAATAGGTTTTATATTAAATTGCTTATTTTTGAGCAGAAAAAAAAAAAACCTTAGTAGTAGTTACTTATTTTTTTCATTCTTTATCTTATTTGCCCTGTCCCAGAATTTTCAAAGTCTAGGAAACAATCTTAAAATCTTCCACAAAGTATGAGTCTGTTAAAAATGGCTGATGTCCTAGACCTCAGTGCATTGTGTTCCATGCCAAAGCTTTGGGAACGTTCACATCTGGAATAGGAATGCCTGTATCTGGTTCTGGTTCTGACTGTCCTGCCTGTGTGACCTTGGCACTTGACTTAAAAGCTACTATTTTTTATTTATTTATTTATTTATTTTTGGTGCTGGGGATTGAACCTACGGCCATTTTACTACTAAGCCACATCCCTGGCACTTTTTATTTTTTGAGACAGCATCTTGCTAAGTTGCTTAGGGCCTTACCAAGTTGCTGAGGCTGGCTTTGAATGTGCAATCCTCTTGTCTCAGCCTCTAATATTATTATACACGTCATATCATATTACAGGTGTGTGCCACTGTTTCTAGCTTAGAAGCCACATTCTGCCTCAGTTTTCTTATATGTGAAATGGGGATAATAATGGTTTTTTTGTAGCTAAGCCAATAAAGGGTTCTTGTGAATGCTGATTAAAAAAAGAACAGAGCCTGGCAAGAAATGAGCACTCAGTGCACGTTGGCTTTCCTTTATTCATAGCCCGTGAATAACATAAAGTGGCTCCTTGTCCATTTAATACCTTTTGCTTCTAGTTCCACTTAGACATTAGTATTATACTTACTTGCCTTTACCCCACGTATCTTGCCTATTGACCTGTTTTTAGCTTTTTGGTAAAAATAACATTATATCAAATTTGGCTTTTTGGTCCAGTTTGCTTTTAGGGATTTGAATCCAATATCACTGTCAATTATTTTGATCTTTACTAATATATTTAGTCTTTCAGACTGTTCTGTGGTTGGCTTCTTGTGAAACCTCCTCATTGTTTCCTTTATTTATTCTCCTTTTGCTATTTGAACTGTATTTTCTTTGCTTTTAAGTTCTTCATTGGTGGGGCTGGGGATGTGGCTCAAGTGGTAGCGCGCTCGCCTGGCATGCGTGCGGCCCGGGTTCGATCCTCAGCACCACATACCAACAAAGATGTTGTGTCCGCCAAGAACTAAAAAATAAAATATTAAAAATTCTCTCTCTCTCTCTCTCTCTCTCTCTCCTCTCTCACTCTCTCATTCTTCATTGGTGGTGGGGGGTGGGTAAATAAGAATGAAGGAACTTTGGATTGTGCAGAGGGAAGTAAGGAGAGGGGAGGGGCTGTGGGGATGGGAAGGACTGTGGAAGGAGACTGATACTATTGCCATATTATACATGTATGATTGTACTGGTATGACTCACCATGTACAGCCAGAGGAATGAGAAGTTGTCTCCATTTGTGTACAGTGTGTCAAAATCTAGTCTACTGTCATGTATAACTAATTAGAACAAATTAAAAAATTAAAAATAAATAAATAAAATTATGAGGAAAAACAGTTCTTCACTAGAATGGGACATATAAAATGGTCTCTTGTTCTTTAAAACAATTCTACTATAAAACTATATTTAACTTTTTCAAAATCATTAGTATGTATTTCTTAAATTGGCAAAAGAAAGATGTCTTTTGAATTCATATGCTTAAGGAACATAAGTAGCATACTTTAAGCTTCTATAATGTAATAATTTTTCAAAAAAATAATCCAGAATTTGTGTGAAGTTTACTTTGTTAAAACTGTTATTTTAAAATTGTCTTTTCTTTCAAAAAAAAAACTTTTCCAGAGTTATTATCATTATTTTTCTTCATATATCTAGTACTTTCTTATTTTGAAGAATTCATATGACTGTCATAAAAACAAAATCCAAACAATAAGATTTTCACCAGGTACAGTGGCACATGCCTATATTCCAGTGACCCAGCCTGGGCAATTTAGTGAGGCTTGTCTCAAAATGAAACTTTTTTTTTTTTAAGGATTAAGGATGTAGCTCGATAGTAGAGTGCCCCTGAGTTCAATCTCCAGTATCATAAAAGAAGAAAAAAAGTTTTACAATAAAACATCAAATTTGTTTGGGGGTATAGCTCAGCGATGGAAAACTTATCTAGCCTGTGGGAGGTTCAATTCCCAGTGACTAAATAAAGAAAAAGAAAATAGCTGACGTCTGGGTTCGATGGTGCCACACGATTAATCCAAGCAACTTGGGAGGCTAAGGCAGAAGAATCACAAGTTCAAAGCCAGCCTCAGCAACTTAGTGAGACCCTGTCTCAAAATAAGAAAAAAGACTCGGGGTGTGGCTCAGTGGTGAAGCTCTCCTGGGTTCAATCCTTGGTACCCCTCCCCCCCCATATAGCAGTTTCCTCCAGGATGGAGTGGGGAGAGTAAGCACTCAGGGTAACAAATGTAACTTTTTGAATAATATTTCAATTCTTAAGGTAAATGGTGACATTCCTTCCTTACTTACATTTTTATTTTTTATATATATATATATACATATATATATATATATATATATATTTATTTATTTCCCTTCTTCTTCTGGTACTAGGGATTGAACCCAGGGCACTTTACCACTGAGTTATATCCCCTGCCATTTTTTTTTAAGTTTTTTTGTTTGTTTGTTTGTTTGTTTTAGTTTTTTTATTTTGAGACAGAGTCTTACTAAATTATCCAGGTTGGCCTAGGGCTTGTGATCCACCTGTTTTTTGCTGGAATCATAGGTGTGTGCCTCTGTACCTAGCTGTTTTGCATATATTCTATTTTCTTTCTCACATATTACATAATTTTAAAAAAACACTATGAAATGGACACTGCCCCATTGTTGTTCTGAAGATTTAGTGTTAAGTCTGACTTAGTTCTCTTATAGATGATTAGGAAGTTTGGGGTCAGGTGGTGATAGATTTTTCTTTGCTTCTATAATTTAAAAATATTACCAGATGTGTCCAGCTGTAAACAAATATTGTCTTAGTAGTTATTCTAGCAACTTGGTTTACAAGTACTTTGGCAGCAGCCATGCAATCCAGCTAGACATTGTCAAATTATTGTACTCGTGTTTTTGCCAAAGGCTTAAGGAGGTGAGAACATCATTTCCCCTTCCTGAAAGTGCCAAAATTTACACACTTTCCATCATCAGAGAGGGAAAGAGGTTTCCAGTGATGAAATTTGAATTTACTACCAATAACAGCTCCCTTTCCACCTTTCTTTTGGCTTCCTCTAAGCCCAACTCCTACTCTGGAAGAAGTCAATGCCTGGGCTCAGTCATTCGACAACTTAATGGTCACTCCAGCAGGAAGAAATGCTTTCCGTGAATTTCTCCGAACAGAATTCAGTGAAGAAAATATGCTTTTCTGGATGGCTTGTGAGGAACTGAAAAAGGAAGCTAATAAAAACATTATCGAAGAGAAAGCAAGGATAATATATGAAGACTACATTTCTATTCTTTCTCCTAAAGAGGTTTGTACCCACAAAAAGGTTTTCTCCCAGGAGCCCTTGGTAAAACAAACCCCTTCCATATTGGGTCATGTTCGGTCATGCTCACCTTTGCACCGGATGGCTACTCCAATACACAGAAAACTACTCTGCCTCTGTTCATAGCATTTAAGTCCATTTGACTATGGTCCCACAGATGGGTGCCAAGTGCCCCCTGAAATCTGTGAAATATTTTGTGGTGTGTTTCAAGCTTAGGAGACATGTGGAAAACAAGGGAGAGAATTGTCTCTCCACTGGGTGGTTGATGAAGTCCTGTCTTGTAGGGAGTGATGTTTAAACCAAGATCTGAAGGATAAGTGGTCTTCATTGGATAGGGAAAAGGGTTATCCCAGACAGAAGGAACAAAAACAAGATAATTCTAGCTCCTTCCTTCTTTAAATCCCAAGTGGTTCAGAACAGATTTTGAAGAAAATAGTGAAATGGAGCTGGGAATTAGTGGAAACATATCATCATGGTCCTCAGAAGCTTAACCTTGGAACTGGTAACATTTGAACCTGGTCTTGAGCACACCAACAAGCCATGCAAGGTAGAAAGCTGGAGTGTCAGGATGGAAGTTGCACTTCAGAAAGAGCTTCTTGGTCAAACCACTGGGCGTGGTTTGGAGAAGCACTGCAGTAGCACCAGGTGACCATTCAGGAGGCTGCTACAGAAATCCAGCAGCAAATAGTGAATGACCTTCACAAGGGTTATGTCAGAGAGAGAAGAGGTAGACAGATTTGAGTGTTAAAGAAGTAGGGGGCTGGGGATGTGGCTCAGTAGTAGAACACAGTCCTAGCATGTAGGTGACTCTGGATTTGATCCTCAGCACCACATATAAATAAATAAAATAAAGGTATTGTGTTCAACTATAACTAAAAAAATATTAAAAAAAAAAAAAAAAGAAGTAGGATCAGCAGGACTTTGTGACTGACACAGAGCCGGGAGGGAACTTGAAAGATAATCAGGACTCTGAATTGGTTTGGGGGCAGTTCCATTCCCTCACTAGCCACACAAGGAGATCTAGAAGCTTTGGGAGTTGGCATTGAACATGTGGGGTTTGAGGTACCACTGGGGGTAGGCAAGAGGTGCTTACTAGGAGAAAGACGGTCATTTGCATACGGAAAGATGGGTCACTTAAGTCAAAACTGAAATGCATAGTTTAGCTAATCACATTTTCAATTTTATACTAATCACATACATTAATAAATATACGTTGCTAGTGCAGAGATGATCCAGCTGAGGTTCTTTCCTTAGAAGATATGGGAGTTAACTCTCACAAATTTTGGCTTAAGCTCTTATTTTTGTGGTGTCTTATAGGAAGTCTGAACCCAATGATTTGCCCTGGTCTAGGACACAGTCTTGTCCAGCATGAGCAAAACATCATAGCATAATAGCTATCCTCTCCCAGGGGCTTAGTAGATTCCAAGTACTTTAATTCTCATTAAATCCTCAGTAAAAATCTAGAAACTACCATCATCATTTCACTGAATGGGGAACTTAATATGGACACAATGGAGTTCACCTTGCCCAAGGCCCCACAATTCATCAGTGAAACCCCAAGCATAATTGGCCCTTAGGCCTTGTGATTTTAGCACGCGCCTAATAATTGTTCCCAGAAATCTGTGATAGTGTTTTAGCTGGGGAAAACTCTGAAGCATGCAGATGTTAGCCTTCATGTTATGGGAAATTAGCAAGGGCTACTACTTCCACAAAGGACACTGTACTCTCACTTACAATGTGAAGTAATACAATGTTGTGGGTTTTGAAAGCAGTATGATCCCCTCCTGCATTAGAGCTTGTGAGAAATAAAAAGTTCTGGCTCTTACCCAGTTCTACTGAGTCAGAAACCCTGGGGGTGGCACCCAACAAACTACTTAATAAGCCCTCTAGGGGCTGCTAATGTTGCTGAAAAGTTAAAAACTCTCGTTCTTTGGGCTTAGGTTTTCTTTCAGCAGTTTGGATTTTTAGATGATTTTGTTTGGTTTGAAAGGGGCTTGGGGTTTTATTTTTCTCTGCAGGGGATTGGACCCAAGGGCAACTCTACCATTATGCTAGATCCCCAGCCCTTTTTATTTTGAGACAGGGTCTCACTAAGTTGCTCGGGCTAGCCTTGGGCTAGCCTTGAACTTTCAATCCTCCTGCTTCAGCCTAATGAGTCTCTGGGATTACAGACATGTGCCACCACACCTGACTGGTTTGGGACTTTCAAAAGACAAAAATGAGCTATGTGAATTGGGGGCAGATTTATAAAGAAATGTATCTAATACAAATGTTATTTGTTTCTATTGACAGGTCAGCTTGGACTCTCGAGTAAGAGAAGTAATCAACAGAAATATGGTGGAGCCATCCCAACATATATTTGATGATGCTCAACTTCAGATTTACACCCTAATGCACAGAGACTCTTATCCTCGATTCATGAACTCTACTGTCTATAAGGATTTGCTTCAGTCCTTATCTGAGAAAACAGCTGAAGCATAGGAATTTTCAAATATATTTATTATAAAAAAAAATAAAGAAGTTCTGGACTACATCTAGCACAGGGAAGTAAGAGGTAGTAATGTCTTCAGCTGGGGTAATACTTGGGCTCATTTAATAACAGATGCTTCTTCCCTCTGGCAGATGGTTATATATTCACAATGTAAAGTACAGCCACCTTTAGAGATACTTTTGAGGAAAAAAAATGGAATATGGCTGTTTTAGAAAGATAGTATATTTACATTTACAATAACAGCAGCATGTTTCCAGTGGCAAAGGATTTGCTAAAAGATGCCATACTTCCTGGAGCATGTACATCCATCCATAGGAGCAAATTTTTGTTTTGCATGAGTTCAGTAGTAACCGATTACCCACAAAAGACATTCCAGTTGTTACTCAGATACCCTTTCCTTCCATCAAGCTTGGTCTGAATACTTCACTTACCAGTACTGTGATAGACCCAAATTCACATTTTATAAAGATGTAACCACTACCTGTAAAACTGATAATCCATTTTATATCTTAGAGTATGTATGTATGTGGATACATATATGTGCATGTGTATCTATACATGGGTAATGTCAAAGCACTGTGCTTTTAACTGGATGAGTCCCAAATGTTTGGTAAAAGAAGCCGTGCTTAGAAAGTTCTTCTGTTGAAAAGAGTTACCATTATTTTAGTATCATAATTTGCCAACCTAAAGAAATTCACAACTTGGTCATGTTCACAATGAAACCTTCAAGTAAATCTATTTCCATTTTTATTATTGAAAGAAATATGGGGCATTTTTACTCTAAAAAAATAAAGCACAAGAGTTTTATCTCAGTCTTTACTTTTTCATATATAAATATGTGGGATACATGCAACATATCTTTTAGCTCCCATATCTTTTAGTATTCTGTCTTTATATTCCCACTATTTTTATCACAAATGGAATAACTTCAAAGCTTTAGGCAAATATATAGTTTGTAGCTCAACCATCCTGAAGAACCCCATGTCTACAAGGAATGGGCAAGACACAAAATCTAGACTGGTTTTAGTAGTGGGTTAGAAATTGATTTGTAAGTGGCCCACACCATGCTTTAGCCCACACATGAGGTAGTTCTCCTGTTAATCTCCCTACCCAGCCCTTCAAACAGCCTGTCTTCACTATTCAAATTCAAGTCCCAAGCCTAAGCCCCTGTCCCTCATTTCTCAGTAAACCATCTCACCTCCTACTCTACTATGAAAATTGTGTCTTTAATCCTCCACTTCCTTTGTAACCTACCAAATATGTACAAATCAGCATCTATTCTTGCCTCCTTCAGTCTCATTTCAGAAAACGTGTTCTTACTTCCTTTTAAAAATGTCAATCCTAACCAGACATGATGGCACACACCTGTAATCCCAACGGCTCAGGAGGCTGAGGCAGGGAGAAAATGAGTTCAAAGCCAGCCTCAGCAAAAATCAAGGCACTACACAACTCAGTGAGACCCTGTCTCTAAGTAAAATACAAAATAAGGCTGGGGATGTGGCTCAGTGGTCAAGTGCCCGAGTTCAATCCCTGGTTCCCCCCTACAAAAACAAAGTGTCAATCCCTTGCACATGTTTTTGCTTCTGTATCTTCTCATCTCATTTTTCACTAAGCAGAGTGTATCACTGTAATTAAGAAATAAACCCTGTCCTCTAGTAGTTTATATCAGACAAGGAAACAGATTGTCAATGGCAACTGCAATGTGATATAGTTACGTACAGTAACGGGACAAACAGCCAAATAAGTACTGCAGGGTTATAGAAAAATTTTGCAGAGGTGGTACCAAAGCTAAAACAGCAACAATGTGTATGTGCTAGTGGGGAAGGAGGTGAGGTTCCTGGTAGAAGGGAAGGTCTTCATAAATGAAGTGACCTCAACTAAGCCCAGTTATGGATATGGTGAGTATGAGGTAACTGTAAGACATAAAAAGACACTAAGAAATCAGCTGGATGGAGGTAACTGGGTAGTCGAGATTCAGGGCTGGAGTATTGACTTGGGATTTCTCAGCATGTAAACAAATAAGATTTTCTGGAGAGGCATAGAAAGAAGAAAGCTAAGGATAATTCCTAGCAAGGATGGATGGAGAAATGAGAATCCCAAAGGAGACTTAGAAGGATTCACCTCAATACAAGTAAGAAGGAAGTCAGGGACATGTAAAGCTGTGGCACTTGAATGAGACATGTTTCAAGCAGAAGCTTCGATAAACTCCACTCTCATATTACTTATGGGGGTCCTATCTGTTAAGAGGCTGAGGGGGCAGTGAATAGCGGGGAACACTCCTAAAGCAACCACCCATTAGCTTTCTCACTTTTATGTCCTCACCTTCACCTTGGCCTTTCCCCACACTGTAAGCATGCTCCATTTCTCAGCGAAGGACAAGCTTGCATTCTGTTTTAATTGTTGAGTCTCCTCCTTTTTCAGACTTTTCACCACTTGCTGCCTCTACCTCGTGCTAATCATGCTCAAACCAACTACCTACTCTAAGGATGGCTCTACCTACAAGTTTAAAACCCAACCCCACTATTTTCCTTTATATCAAGGGCCTCATCTCAATGAGTGCTCAGGTTCTTGACATCATGGACAATTCATGGCTGGAAACACTCCTTCCCTATCTTCTCAGGCTCTTTTCTACTTCTCCATATTCGGTCATTTTTATTTCTTTCCTCTCCAGGCAGGAGAGCAGGGCAGCTACAGGCTTGGGTCCAGAGCCAGACTTTCTGACTCCACCATCCACTGTTGTGTGGTAATGGCTAAACTTAGCCTTCCTGGGCCTGTTTCCTCATTAATAAAAATGGTGATACTAATTAGACCTGGTACTAAGCATTGCTATGAAGATTAAAACTAATGCATACTGGGCTGGGGTTGTGGCTCAGTGGTAGAGCACTTGCCTAGCATATATGAGGCACTGGGTTCAATTCTTAGCACCACATATAAATAAAATAAATAAATGTCCATTGACAATTAAAAAAAATTTTTTAAACTAATGCATGTAAAAAAATTTTAAAAACTAATGCATGTAAAATCCAGTATCAATGTTATTATTTCTTGCCCATTAAATGTGATGGCCCCTAAAGTCTGGACTTTAGCTTACTTTTCTTACTAATCTATATGCTCTCCCTTGGTTCTCATATCCCCTTCTCATTGTTTAAAATACTACCCAGTATACTAATGGCTATCAAATCAGAATCTGGACTGTGCTTCCTATGGCTGCTGGCTTGACAGCTCCACTGGTATATCCCTCAGATGAATGAAACTCAGCCTGCCTTAACTTTGACTCATCTCCCCTTTGGCTCTCCACCCTCCAGCCTCCTGGCCCCTGCCTGTAATCCAGTCACCCAGCCAGTCGCCCAAGCTATTATCTGGGTGTTAACTTTGATTCTTCCCTGCCTTTCTCCTACCAAATGCACTAAGACTTATCATGTACCTCAACATTTTTTGATATCTTATTCTTTCTTCCTACCCCATCAGATCTTACCTGCATCATTGCCAAAAGAGCCTAACTGGTCTGCCTCTTGCACCCCCACCTCAGCCCATTCAAATTCATCTGTCAAATTGTTATCAGGTCATCTTTCTCACATACAAATCTGCTTGCCACTCTCTCACTCTTTAAAAATTTTCAGTACAAATTGCCTACAGTACAAATATGGAGTTCTTGGTCTGGCATATGAGCTGTGAGATTACTAACCCTCCCCTCTCCCCGGCCCCAAACCAGCCCCTCAAGTGTTAGACTCTAACATCAGCCCTTCACAACTGTTTGTGAGAACTTGGTTCATACTTTCTACTGCCTCTTGCCTGATCACTCTAAACACCATGCTTCACCCAGTTAACTCTAATTGTTCCTTTAAGGTTTACTTCACATTACCTCTTCCAGAAGCCTTCCTTACCTGATCACCTAAGTCATACTCAATATGCTACGTTGAGGGCCATTCTTTAGTGTTCCAGGAATGTTTTATACAAATGAAATCACTACAAATCATGCTGACGTGTCTTTTCCACTAGATGGTAAGCTTCAATGGCACTGAAAATAATTTTACCCATCATTTTAGCTTTAATATCAGCTTACAGCAGTATTCATAAAGGTTTATAGAACTATAGAATTTCCCACAAAATAAAAACTACATTCCAAAAATTGTTTCACAATGTATTATAAAAGATACCATTACCACTACAGAACTCACTACTAATATTACTACTACTACTACTACTACTACTACTACTACTATGGACCAATTCAGTGGGTAAATCCCACTGTATATGAATGTCCCAAACTACCCCACAAATTCAATTCAATTCCAAGTTTTTGCTTCTAAGTAAAATTTAATAGGTGATTTTGCTGTATTTGGAAAAACATATATAAACAAATAGAAATTCTAAATGGCTTACATATCTAACAGCTTTTAAAATAAAAACACATTAAGCCTGGGGCAGTGGTGCATGCCTGTAATCCCAGTGGCTCAGGAGGCTCAGGCAGGAGGATTGTAAGTTCAAAGCCAGCATCAGCAACTTAGTGAGGTGCTAAGAAACTCACTGAGACCCTGTCTCTAAATAAAAATACAAAATAGGGCTGGGGATGTGGCTCAGTGGTTGAGTGCTCCTGAGTTCAGTCCCTGGTACCCCGTCCCCCGGAAAAAAAGAAAAGCACATTAAGACTATTGGAAGACAATATAGACAATATTTTTATAACCTCAGATGAAAACTATTTTCCTAAGCAAACATAAAATGTAGAATACAGAAAATACTAGTAGATTTGATTATATAAAAAAGTTAAAATGTAAACCTCACTCTATAACAATCTAAAAATTACTATGGAGAATTTATTAGTGTGCCTACAACTTAAGATATAACTCTGTAGACAAAAAAGAAAAGGCATAATAAAAGATAATTAATAGTTGGGCATGGCTACACAAACTTGTAATCCCAGTGACTCGGGAAGCTGAAGCAGGAGAATCCCAAATTCAAAAGGCCAGCCTCAGTATCTTAGTAAGATCCTGTCTCAAAATAGAAAGAACTGGGAATGTAGCTCAGTGGTAAGGTGCCCTTGGGTTCAATCCCCAGTACAAAAAATAAAATAACAGAGAAATTAACTGATTAATAAATAAGACAGGCATAATAAATATAAAAAGATAAAAAACACAATTTAAAATTTTGAAATGACAGTGGTTACTATTTCTACCCTAGATTTGCAAAAATCAAGAGTTAATGGTATCCAGTATTAGCAATGTCAGAAAATGGGAACTTATACCCATTTGGCAAGCAGATAGTCTAGTGTGATTTTTTGGAAAATAATGTGTCAATATGTCATTTTTGATGTACTATCCACTAGCTAAACAATTATACTTCTAGCAAAACATAAGTTGTAAACAGAATAAAGATAAAGATATTAATTATAACATTGTTTATGGTAATAAAGTCTACTCCATAGGAGGATAGTTGAGAAGAGAATGGAGTATATACACATGGATCTCTCCAGTTAAATGAATGTGATACATATGGGTTGGCAGATAAGGATTCTAAGATAAACTGTTGAGAAAAAAAAAAGTTACAGGATATGCATATGTCCCCATTTATATTAATAATGGTCATTCCAAACACATTCCCCTCACTGACTGAGGTAGGTATTAAGTGCTTTATACATTATTGTTTAGTCCGAACTCAAAGTCCTATTGGCTAAAATGGTGTTGCTTTATAGACTAGGCAGAGGGCTGGCATACCCTCTTCAATCTCATATCTAATAAGTGGTATAAACAGGTTTGAATCTGAACAGATCATAAGCCCACTCTGTAATGCCAGTTTCCTAGGAAAGAAGATTACGTAGTGGTAATCAAGTGGGCACATACACATACACACACACACACACACACACACACACACACACACAAATACACAAAATGAGGCTTTTTTTTTTTTTTCTATTAGAATTTTTGAACTTGAAGCTAAACCACCTAAGCTTTCTTTCCTGGGATGTGTATCAAAAACTTCAATGCTGTGGGGCTGGGGGGTATAAGCTCAGTGACAATATACACAACAATACCTTGGTTCAATCCCCAGCAACAACAAAAATTTTCAGTGGTGAATTGTCTAAGCTGGATAAAGTACAGTAGTCACCAAATAGCTTTTCCTGAATAATGCCCAACTTAACCTCATGGAGGGATCAAACTAGCCTTGATATTACAGCACACCCACTTAAAATAACTATTCCAGAGGAATATGCTAGAAAGGCAAGCAATTAACTCAAATATTATTTTTTTTTAAACCCTAAGAGTTCAATTTGATTAGTCTAGGAATGGGAAGTCTGGTTTTTATGGTTGTTTGGTTTTGGTACTAAGGTGGAACTTAGGGATGATTTATCACTAAATGATATCCAATCTTTTTTTTTTTTAAGATAGGGTCTCAATAATTTGCTGAAGCTGGCCTCAAACTTGTGATCCTCCTGTCTTAGTCTCCCAAAATCCTGGGATTATAGTATGCACCACCATGTCCAGCTTGGGAAGTCAGAAATTTTAATTATCTACTTAAACAATACAGAGGGGAAAACTTGCTATCAGTTGCTTTTCTTACCATGCAGGAATTCTCTCTCTTCTCACTTAAATAAATCCTGCCCTACTAACTACTGCCTTTCATTATTGTCTGTGGATTTTATTCTTCAAATTTGCAAGACAAGAACCATGAAAGAAACTGGTAAATCAGAGAAACTAGTTTCATAACAAATTCTGATTTTATTTTTGGCCCCCAAGAAAGGGTACTTTGGAAGGTCATCTGCCAACACCACCAAAGGCCTCCCTCTGGATTTCCCTGATAAGTAAGATGCCCAAACAAATAGCCTTACACATGGAATCCAAAACCAAACTCCCCTTCTACTGGGGGCCATTAAACAGGCCTCTCTGTAGAAGGACCCTGATTGCTGTCCCCTTTTAATCCTCCCTCTTTCAGCCTAAAGCAGCCAGAGTGATCATCACCCCTTTCCTATAAATGAAGTTAAAGGTACTTCTTCAGAACAAGGAAATAAGTAAGGATAGTTAATGTTCAGCCAATCAGGGTTATGGGCCTCAATGAGATTAACCTGTAGAAAAATCCAAATATCCCAGCAACTCCTTTATCCCAAAACTGCGCAGGAAAACAGATTTGGGGGTAGAACCAAATAAAGATCACAGTAAAGATCAAACTCAAAGGCTAAAGGACACACAGCCAATTGGAGGGTCACGGACAAGCGATCTGCCATAACACTTTTCCAGTAACTGTTAGCAAGGGTTTTGATCACTGCCCCTACCCAAAGGCTATAAAAGCCCCCACACCTACTACATTCAAGTGGAAAACTGGCTCTCAGTTCCCCTCTTGCCTTATGGAAGTTATCTTTTATTCTCACTTAAATAAATCCTCCTCCATTCACTCTTGAAAATGAATAAATAAACATACAGAGGTTTTAATGGTCTTACAGACATGCTTTGACTGAAGTTTGTTTTATTTTGAAGAGAATTATGACTGTCATTTTAAGGAGAAGAAAAGGATGGACTTTTTACGGGAGTTCCATGGGGACAAGGAAATGACCCAGAGAAAATACACAAAAGGAAAACAAAGGAATAAAAAGTAAGTTACTATATACCATCAGTAAAGCATAAAGGGAGATATCAAGACAGGAAAGAGACAAAAGAGCTTGAAGATAAAAAACAATGAATAAGACTCTACTAATAATTACTTTTTTTTTTTGGTGGTGCTGGGGATTGAACCCAGGGCCTTGTGCATTCGAGGCAAGCAGTTTACCAACTAAGCTATATCCCCAGCCCAATAATTACTTTTAAGTGTAAATGGATCAAACTTCCTAATCAAGAGACACAAAGTGACTTACTAAATTAAAAAAAAAAAGATCCAACAATACACTGTATATAAGGCTCACTTTTAGGTTTAGGATAGATATGTTTAAAGTAAAAGGAAGTAAAAAGATATTCTATGTAAATGGTGGCCATACTTACATCAGACTAAATCAAAAAATGCCAACAGACAAATTAAAACGACATTATATGATAATAAAATGGCCAATTTACAAGGAAGGCATAATGTGTAATGTGTGTATGTG